TTTAGTTCAATTGAAAATATGAAACAAATATTTTTACCACACATTCAAAAGATATAATCATTCCAGCACACCGATTATTAAACGTTTGCTTACCCTTTGATAAGACTTTTACACAATCTATCCTTTTTGTACTCGCTCTATGCCGAACAAAAATTTTACATGGACTGAGGCACGTGTAACAGTCGTAACGAAAAAACTGGATATTTAATTTTATTTTTCTACGTGGTAGCGCGCATCGCCAGCTGCGTAAACAAATTGACATTGAGACTTGTAAGTTTGATCATTGTGTCCCAAAAACATCTGTATCAATAGTGTCTTTATCTCTTGGAATATATAGCACCTCTTTTGCCATTTGGTCCGGATGGAAGTACAATAATTCAAGCATGTTACAATTAAGGTAATTATAGTTGAGATTTTCATGAGGTAATGAAATAAAAGTCTTCGGATACTTTTTACTACCATCATTTATTACAATAAATTATAAATAATTGATATTTTTCAAAAATATTTGACAGAATCGGCTGCAATATTTGAGCGCATTTTTCCGATGTTAAAAAAAGGAATACTTCAGACAGTTGGAAAAAGCGAAATGATAGCACCCTATCGCTCTGACGTCATTTATCGCTTAGTTACGCTTTTAAAATGTATAAAGCGGTATAGACCGTCACACTTGCGCTACTAAAAATTAATACGTTGTCGCTATTGACTGCTGTACGTAAAAATTGTCCTTTAAAGACACTATAAAAATAGCGTTCATTGTCCTTGTAAATATGTTAACATTTATTACTTTCGAGGTATTTTGTATGCCTGTCTCAGGAAGTTGAAAAATGGAAAAATTTCAAGTTTGTTTGTAAGCGCTAGCGACTAGATTATAAACACCAAGATATTATTAGAATAGCGTTTCCTTGTAAAGCGATAAGTACAATACATGTTTTTAAATGTACTGTTTTCATGAAGATGGAGAACACTGATATATTAAAAATATAGAATACGATCTCAATAAATAATTCTCTTTGTATAAGTAACAGATACACATGGCTAATCGTTGTTGCTCATTGGTTCTCAGTAACAGAAAATTACTGATGTAAAGCATTATGGAAGATACTGCAATATTTCTATTCATTTGTATGCAATACAAATAATACCGAATGATACGACAATATATAATTACTGTTTTAAGTTAAATACGCGAAATTCTATATGCAGCACAAATGTAGCTTGCATAAGACAAATTCAATGTAAGCCTAATAGCTGCTATTTATATCTTCATTAGTTACATCTAAAATCTGTTATCATTAAGTACTAAGGAAGTTATCTATTATGGATGCAATCTTTTCAGGATTATTTAAATGTACGTGATGCGATCCTTCCACCTTGTGGTATTCAAATTTTTTAGCACCCATCTTTATTTGATCCATAACTATGTCGTAATTCTCTGGATGATCGAGTTTCAGTCCGGGCATAGCCCGAATGTTGAGGTACGCGCATTTTATTTGAGTCGCGTATGCAAGTACCAAATCCATCGACATCATGCCTAATGCAGAAACCTGAATAACAAACATAAATTTTTACGTATTTGTGTAAATACATCAGATTTTTTTTAAATCTGAAAATAAGGACATACCTTCAGTCGCGGATCGCGTGAGAAGTAATATTTCTCTGGATTGGAGGATGGACGTATGCCGCGTTTCATTAGAGCTATTGCACCTTCCCTACTTACGGAACCATTGTAAGCATCTTCTACGATATCTAGCACTTCGTTGTAAGTATATAACGGAACGTTACTGGCCTCCAGCGCCTCGTATTTCAAATATTTATCGATTGTATCACCAGTCAACGGGGCAATTTTCGACGGGTCCCTTACACTCGGGCTTGCAATGTCTAAAGATATCATGAACTCTACTTCGTCGGGATACGATGCAGCATATAAAAATGATATTGCTCCTCCCAAGGAATGTCCAAGCAACTTGATCTGGATATCAACATTTAATTATAAAGTACAAATCAAATGAGACCACTAATATAATTCTGATTGCCCGATATAAATGATGCATACATGATGTTATGAGTTAATGATTAGTAGATTCGTGATGTTACATGTTGGTGATTAATAAACGCATGCTTTGCAATTTACAATTTGTTGAAGCGGTTTTTCTCTCTTTTATGGTGCGAAATGCAAATAGCTGAGGTAGTGAAGCTTTTCAAGGCTGACTGATACATTTATAGAACATAATGAAATATAATTTGCGTGTTGCCTGAGAAATTTATCTAAACTACAGTGTAGAGTGGTGAAAATTAATCCACTCGCTAACCTTCTGCCATTTGAAATACTTGATAATTCTACGTAGTAGAATAATACCGTCCCAGTAAACATAATAGTACTGACTCTTTGGATAGTGGGAGGATAAGCCGTGACCAGGCATGTCCAGAGCAAGTACTGAAATCTCGTCAGATAATAATGGAATCAAAGCATCAAAACTTCCAGCATTATCTTGGCGTCCATGTAATGCCACTATTGGTTGGATCCCTTTGGGACCCCACCATTTGCCTGTAGGTAATCAATTATTTCACATCAAAATGATAAACAATTACCTTGATTATAATGATTCAAGCTATTTTAATAACAAATGTGCAAGTATCTCCTAGAAGAAAGACCTATTTAAATGAGAATTAAAACATGACCAAGTTGCAGCTCAGATAAAAATGATTATCACGTAAGGCTTTCATACTGATCTTTAGTTATACAACGATTCTAAATGATTGGCAATGCGTAACTTGAATAATATGATTAGCATAGCACTTAATAAAAAGTCTGTAACAGTCAACCTTGTACCAGACAGTCACAATGCTAATTGTAAATATAAGTCTTTGTACAATGCAGTGAAGCTAAAGCGAGATATAGAACTATACAGAAAAAAATCTGAAAGCAACCGAAGCTGAATTAGAAACACTAAATTTCGTTGTTAAAGAAAATGGAAAATTAGCAGAAGATCGTTGTATAACTTCAACTTCCTAGCTAACCTTGTTCCACTTGAAATATTTAGCAACTCTACGCAGAGTAATAAGCCCATCGCAAAATATATAATAAAATTGTCCACGGGGCAGATGGGATGATAAACCATGACCAGGCAAATCAATGGCTAGGACAGATTCATTTGATAACAAGGGTATTAATCTATCAAATGTCCCAGAATTGTCCTGCCAGCCATGTATCGCCACTAAAGGCTGCTCACTCTTTGGTCCCCACCATTTGCCTAAATTTATTATTATTAAACAATAGTATTCCTAAACTACATACATTAAAACATAGATTTGAAGGTAGTCTCCATATGCATGGATACAAATTAAGGCTAGAATAATTATTCAAAATTGTTACTGACCACTTATGTGACCCCAAGGTACGGGTATTTCAATTTCTTCCACATCTGAAAAACGATGATTCATGAGAATCAGATAAAGAATTTGGTTAGCGATTTCTAACATAAAAATCGAGTGACACGTATGATAAACTTACTGTGGAGTTTCTGTCCATTTAAATTCTCAGAAACACTTTTTTTGGCAGCGATGCTCATTTGGCTGACGGTAGAGTATCGGTAATCAATGAAAATTTGCAAAAGGTTAATTTGCTCGTATTTAGTCAAAGAGAAATTCCACCTGACCGCGCTTTTCCACAAGTGACGTAGGTCTGGACGCATAAAATCACCAGTCATTGACTTATCTAGGTAAGCCGAAAAGATTGGGATAACGGTATATACAACACATGTAATGTATACTACCTGTATAAAAGTCATCATACCTCGCTTGAAATTTCAAATATATTATGTCACTCATGTATTTTCATACATTTATGTACATTCACTCTTGCGAAAAAGTTTGTTAACAATAACGAGACGAACTACGTGCCCAAGTCTAATAGACAGTTGCGTTTTTCGAATTTCTAGAACTATGTATTGATGGCCAAATACAATCGCTATTTATATATCGGGAAATATCGAAAAATTTGAATGTTATTGTATATTAGCTTACTGGAATACCTTAATGAAAGTATTAATCTTATGTATCGCTAATTACTCCGCGAAGTGCAAATTTTTATTGTTGTTATATGGCGAACGTTCAATACGATTAGATAATGTTCTGAGAAAAAATGTTTTAACGATGCAGTGTAGATGTTGTAGAACTGTAGAAGACGACGACGACGCTGTAGTATTTGCGAATTTATACACATTTCGCGTCGTCCTCTTTCCTTACTCATACTCATAATTGCTAGAAACCAGAAATGCGCACGACGCTTCCCCTACCATACCATGATGCCCTATTTATTCCTGCCACCATTTTATCCTAGCAGCCGATCTTTTTTGTCACCTATGTATACTTACAGTGCATGATTTACGGTTCGCGATCAATAATTTCTTGTACTCTTTACTTTATTGAATTGACTTAGCTTGAATGAACGCTTAATTGAATCAACGAATAATAAATAAATAACATTAAACACTCGAGTAATGGTGCGGCTAGAAGTACAATCGCAATCGAAACTGCCATCTTTTATATTTATACTATATTTTAGATAACAGAATTAAACAATGTTTTCCTCATACGTAGTGCAGAATATACCATTCGTAACATCTAGGTACATATTATAAAATGTATCTATTTAACGCGTTACTCGATAACAGAATTCATTATAATTAACAATGTTTCAGGTTATAATTGTGAAATTATCTACTGTAATTATTTCCGGCTGTTTCCTCGTATCGATAAAATGGAGAATAAAGAATGCATAGTGAAAAGTATAATTCATGCAGGAACTAAAACGATTCATTTTGTACCTGGGACTAAAGTACAGTTTACGTATAATCATTAGATTTAACATGTTGATATGATTCAGATAATAATGAGGACATCATTTGAATTTATAGGTAGTTTTCCATTTTAAAACAACAAAATGTGACCCAGAGAGAACAGTAATAGATGATAGCAAAACCATGTGTAATCCTATGGAACTTGTTTTGGGGAAACAGTTCAAGCTTGAAGTTTGGGAAGTGATTGTACAGAAAATGGCATTAAACGAAGTGGCTCGCTTCAGGGTCGATAAAAGCGTATGTTTAATGTATTTGATAGTGTAAAAACACGTTGCAATGCTTAGGATTTCAATACTAACGGTGAGTATTGGTTTAGCTAGTCACAGCATATCCTTTTGTATCTAAAACGTTGAGGGACATTGGGAAACCACAGTCAGAAAAACGTAGTCATCATTGTTGCGGTGTAACTTTGCAAAATGAGGGGATTGGATACGATGATTTAAACGAGCTCATCAAGTATCCTCAAGATTTAGAGTTTACAATTGGTAATCAATTTGGTGTGGAAAACGTTGAACCTTTTCATGTTCTAATTACTTGTTATTCATTTTTCAGAGCTTGTCAACGTAATTTTACCAGATGAATATGAGAAAGAATCGTGGCAAATGACGGAGGATGAGAAATTAAAGAGTATTCCAGATATAAAAGAGAAAGGGAATGCATTGTTTAAGAAGCAAGATTACAATGGTGCATGTGTGATGTATGGAAAAGGCATTGGAATATTGGAGCAGCTTATGCTCGCGTTAGTATATTTTTGATTATCATTCTGTTTATCAACTTTATCTTAACGGGCTAGGGTAGTCACGTGACTATCATTTGTTAATACATTTTTCATGTCTTTTGCTGTTTTTCTGATAACCAGGCAAAAACAGAGCGCCCTAGAATGTACCTCAAATTAAACATTAAAACGAATTTTGTCTTGATTCTCTGAGGAGCAAAGATGTAGAATAGAATGGCGTAAATCAGGATTGCAGAAAATTTAGTAGATCTGTAATTCAATTGAATAGCAATTAACAAGTAACTTCATCTTTAATTCAAATTTGGCTAATTAAGAATTAAAATTTAGTTTTTAATCGAGAATTCTTCTAATTAGTAATTGAAATTGAACCGAGCGTACCCTCTGAATAATCATTTGCAATTTGTAGCGAGAAACCAAACGATGAGGAATGGCTAGCATTAAATCGATTGAAAACTCCGTTACTCCTAAATTATGTACAGTGTAAATTAATTCAGAAGGAGTATTACACAGTTATAGAACATTGTACAACAATTTTGAAACATGAACCAGGTAACCAGATATCAATCTTTTTATACATTAATTATATGTATAATTACTGATTTATATTCTCTTAGATAATGTAAAAGCGTTATATAGAAGAGGTAAAGCGTACATAGGTACCTGGGATGAGGAGAACGCCGTTAAAGATTTGAGGAAAGCTGCTGAATTAGATACTTCGTTACGAAGTACAGTCGAAAAAGAATTGCAGGCATTTTCCGTAGCCATTAAGCAAAAAGATCAAATGGAAAAGAAGAAATTATCAAAACTATTTCAATAAGTATTTATACGAAAATACGATATGTTTTAAATGTATTATAAAATATAAAAACTAGAAGATAACAGTTTAAATTGTTGTTATTAGCGAACAATTTTCAGTTGGTATACTTATCTTCGGCCTTCGGCGTTATTATCTAAAATAGAGATATGAGAGGAAAAACAATTGGGTTTTGTAATATTAAAATAATTTAATTGTATAATTCGATAGAGAGTAACATGGTTGACACGAATGATGTAATGTCACATCGAAGTGGTTGCATTTTGTATCAGGTGCCGGGCGAGAAAAATTAACATAACAGGCAGGGACAATGTTAGGTCCTCTCGCAATTTTAGTTAGACTTTGCAGCAACAATCGCTGCACGTTGTTGCCGATGGTGGATAGTTCACGTTAATAAATTGTGGGGAATGATTTGTTGGGTAAACTTCGCAGTCGTAAATCCGGCGCATATCAACGCGTTTCAACAGCATTACAAATATAACTCTCTCGTAATTTTGTCATGATCACGCTCGCTCGTAATATAATACAATGGAAAAATGTCAGTTCCATGATTTACACCTTCGAAACCCTGTAAATATAAAAAAAAGAAAGATAGGGAAACAGCGAAAGAGGAATTCAAGGTTTCGTTTGCCTTGTGACCGATCAAAACTCAAGTTTCGTTGAAAAATAAGTACTCCATCTTTCCACGTACAATATAATAGAAATTGTGCCTATCATAATATAAAATATAATACAAAGATTCTTTATTTCCTTTCCAACAACATTCAGCACACTCTTAACACAACAGTTCCATAGTCGGGATTTCTGTCATTGGCGATAGAGCAAACTTATCTGTTTTGTACCTAAAAATTTGAGAATTGGAACATTCTCATCGGTCGCAACAAGGAAGGAATAAAGTAGAAAGCGATTAGAAGCTCTTGCATGGCATTTCGGTCTAGCACTCGCGCATTGCCTGATCAGCAAAGATTCGATCGTGTCCTATCGACAAGGATAGTAATTGAATCATGCAAAATGATCGGGCAGTTACGCATACCGTTCGAGTTCAAGTTGATCGTCTACCGGTTAAAATATACAAAGAGAACAGCCACGTCCGTGGATCGTAATCGAACGCGGTACGCGTAATCCAAATTCAACACTGAACTATACAGATCCTCGCATCCCCTGTTCACTACGTTACGGTCCGATATCTCAATAAAACAACGAACGCGATTTTCGATTCGAGGAAGCGAATTGAGAAAGTCGCGGTTCTTTGGCGGTCCTCTGATAATATCTTTTATAAATTGGCTCTTCCGTTAAACGTTACACAAATTGTACAAGTTCAAGAATCGCGTGCCTAGGCAAAAATCTATCCGAGGTCACGCGTTTGAAGCATTGGTGGCGTCGTCTTTTTTGGTCAAGTCGGTCACCTTCCCCAGGGAGAATTGGCGGGCCTTGGCCGCCCATACTTCACCATTTGCTAGCACCCTAGAAGAAAAACAAAATGTCGATGAGTATATTATAAATATGGTTTCATACGTTTTTTCCCATCATGTGTTTTCCACCATGATAGATATTTAATGGCACAGGTCAATATTGATTTACTGCAGCGATGTCCAATTGACGAATTGTATGCGGTCCGCGAAGCAAATAATATATACATTCGTCAAGCCCAATATTAAAGAATTATTCAATTTTGAAATGTATACGAATATTTATGGGCATCACTGTAGCTAGTATTTTCGGGTAATCGAAGATTGCGAGTGACCATTCGGTTACATACCGTCTGGTATTTTCGCTAACCGACCTATCCGGCGCTCCGTACACCGGCGGATTAGCATAAGGATCATAGCCGAGTACAGAAAGCATCGGCGCGATGTCAGGCATCTCTCTGACCACGTCATCCGGAATGTGGCCAACCCACTTGGTGAGTGCCTCCAGATTGACTGGCTTTATGATCTGGTCCGACGACCTCTCGACCCTGCATTCCAAAAATAGGACAAATTTTAGTTTTCGATCGATTCATCCTCGCATTCGCCGTACGAATGGAATATGTTATACAATTTCGATATTCTCTTACTTGCTCAGTGGCACGCCACCCGGTTTGTTAATGAATTCCTCGTGATGCATCACAGATTCGTTCCAAGGAACGTCCAAGAAGTTTAGAATTTTCTTCATCCACTGGCGCGGATGCAGCACCAGTTGCTCGTACGGCACCATCATACACTTTTCCGAACCGATTTCCTTGCACTGCCCGTACATTATTGAGATCACATGGTTCCACTTGATCAACGACTGTCGATACGACGACAGATCGAAGCCCGTTATAGTCACCTGTAAATATGTAGTACATATTAATATTCCAATTGATTATTCATTTTACCTTGCGTGCGAAACGACGAAGAAATATATTCATTATTCTACATAAAAGTGTATCCGGTTACAAAATCGCGAGTCGCTTCGGATTTGCATAATTTCACGTGCAACCATCGTCGACGTTTCATTTCGCTTTGTCTTCTTTGCATCGAAGAGAGGAACTTTTTTTCCCGTTCATTTTTGACGAATACCAGTCGCATTTTAATATTCGCAAATGAAGTGGGATCAATTTACATGCATCGGAATGGATCGGCTCAAACCGTTCGAACGGGGCAATACCTTTCTCGAGATAATGGAATGCACGGTGGCACGGCCGTCGCGGATCATGAAGATAAACTTGGCATTTGGAAAGAGATCGAGAACGTAGGAGCCCATCTTCAGAGTGAGGGGATCCTTGTTGCACAACCTAGGCGCAGGCTCCGCGTGTCGTGCTATTATCTCCAAGCAGAACGCTGCTATAGCGCTGTCCATTACCTGAGTAAATTATTTACCAATTAGCGTTGTTCTTTTCAAAACGATTCATCATAACGTTCATTTATTTTATTTTCAACTTTTGGAGAAGGATTGAAAAGATTTTTAGGAAGGAATTAATTATTCTGTATCAATTAGGAGGAAACAAAGAGTGGTAGAATACATGCGGGCATAGCTTGGCTATGAAAGCGCGTTGGTTCACAATACAAATTTGTGTTTTGTTAGAAAAGTGTGATGAAAGGTGTATCGAAAAGAAGACGATGTATGGAGAAATAGTATAAATATAGAGATAATAAGTGTCGAGGGATATAAGAATTATTAAAGTACATTCATTTCTTAAGATTATTGAATAAGAAATACTATACAATCCTTTCTAAACAAAGTGAGTACACTCACTTCCTTCGAAATTCCAGCTTCCGAAAGGCGCAAATTCTCCCTCTCAGTTTTTAACCAGTGCATCCTCATCAACAATAGTCTGGGTATCACTCTGGTCTCTTGTCCGCATCTGAAAAGAACAGAAATCATTTACGTTTAGAAGCCACGCACGGCGCCGGTCTTTGACGTCCATCAAGAACGCTCGATGCCAATCGTATCGGGCCGATAATTGGCAATTTACACCGTGGATGGAACTCACCTGACATCGGGATGTGCATCGAGCATGGCTCGCATCAGAGTTGTGCCGGAACGTGGAACTCCATCGATGAAAATCAACGGCATATAACGGTCGTACGTGTACCTCTTGTGATCGAACGGGCCCACCACGTATTTCTGCAAAATACGCGCGTGGAATATTAATAATCTACTCATAATGCAAACAGCTGTCTAGGCTACTAATTATTTCACGTTTCGGGGATTGATAATGAATAATGAAACGGAAGCTACGAGAGATGCAAATCTAGCTCTGGTTTATGAAATGTTGGAAATAAAGCAAACAAATATTATGCAGATTGATTTAATATATTGAAATTAAATTTCATTTCTTAATTTTAAACCACGAGGAAGGTAGGCGTTCAGCCTACAAGATGCAGCTGAACTGGTATCGACAGAACGATTTTTCCCTGCGTTCCCAGACGCACTTATCTCACTTGAAAAACATTTTAATAGAGGGTAATACAGCGTTTTTTAATATGTAACTTATAGTGAATAATGAATTGAAGAGACGGTTCAGTGCATACGTACTGGATATAATTTTCAAACTCGATTTTTAAGAGAACGAAATGTCAAACGAAAAAATGTTATTCGTTCCTTTCGACTTATTTTTACATGTAATATCACCTACTCGGTTGTACCATCCATCCGGCCACACCCTGTACTATATACAGAATGATCGAACAGCAGAATATTTAAACGAAATTGCTAGAACTATAATAAATAATTTTTGTCCCTCTGTATACTCTTTATTGAATAATATCGATATGAAAGAAATACGAGATTATAATTTATGTGTATTTCAACGATCCGTTTTCATTTTTCAAATTAAAGGGCAGAGGAAGACAGGCGATAATTTGGCCTTTGGTCTGGCACGGATTATTAGCTGGCGATTATACTCGTTAAGATATCGGGAAAGTTTCCTCGTGTAAAGTAGCAGTTTGTCGAAAGATCTTTGAGAATTATGTGAACTCGTTCAAACTCGGAAGAAGTTCGTTGTACAATGTCGTCTAACGAACGAACGAGGATGCTTGGGAGGATGATGAGCATCGAGCCGGGATGATCGATACACTTTGATTCTTCTACAAAGGACACGCCGCGTTCTTTTTTCAAACGATGATGATTCGATCACGGTGGAAGTTTCAAAGGAGTCTCGAGCAATTACGAAGTTTCCCTGCTGGCAACTTTCTATCTTTTCACGTTTAGCTTCATCGTCTCAGGTACTTTAGTGAAATGATTTATTTTTAAATCGATCGTTCGCCTTCGTCTTCGAAGATAGCAAATATTTTCCACGAGATAGAAGAGGAAAATGGGCTGTGGAACATGTAAACGTATCTTAATGCACATTCGCATTACGTATCGATGTCTCTCTTGAAGAGGTAAATAAGGAGACATCGTTTTATCAACACGTTCTCGCAAATGCAGTAAAACGTGATGAAGTGATCTCTTTTTGCGAAATATTGAATTTGGCGATAATTTTGATGGTTTAATTAGCTGCAATCGATGCGAAGTAGGATAATACATACTTCAATTAGGGGCGAACTCGATTAAGCAAACGTCATACATATCAAGAAGTTTGTTTGTTTCGTTTGATTAACCGCCGACGCGTTTCGTATGATTATTAACAAACGTTGGCTACGGGCGCTTATTAAAAGCGTGGCTAAATTCAATTTGAATTACGATTTATCCGCGTTATGTGCCGGCGGCGGTAGCTCCTTCCTAATTAATCGAACACCGATAAGAGACGTGTTTTCAATTCCCAGTGGATTTATATTTCCCATACATAATATTTTTGCACGAAACATCTTCTCTTATTCAGCGTTTTTTTTTTACAAAAAAGGTGAGTAAAATGGTACCTGAAACACTGCCCGTAAAAATTATGTTCACCGCGGCTTCTAATAAAAACTGGTAATTAATGTCCTAATTGGTAGTTACATTGCCTTAATTATTGCACCGGTCGGTCGCGGTACACTCCGACAAAAATAATTAATCGCGTGTTAATTGGAAAGTCGGTTGTTCTTTACGGAAGTAACTTAAGCGCGGAGGAAGGTATCACGTGTTTCCTCGTCTACTATTAAAATACGTTCCGCAGTCGGCAGCTCTCTGGACCCGCTTCTGAATTCATGACTCTGAAAACGCGGCCGTGGGATACCCGCGGCTGACACGCGATGGGAGATAAAGTTTAGCAACAAACAGTTTAATTAGCGTCGTCGATTAAAATTACAGCGGCGCGCAAATGAACAATCGCCGGGACAATTGACGTTACGCTCTGCGTTTATGTGTCACGGTTACAATTGGGATAAGCGCTGCAGGATAAATGTGAAATTATTATATCAGAGGACAGTCATTTGCAGTATTAGATGTTAAAACCATTATGTAAATCATTATTATGGATATTATCGGGATAAACTTATATTGAAGTACGTATTCAAATGAAATTTTCATTTTATTTCTTATCATTTTAAATACTAACTACGGATGATGCAAAGTTTCCCAAGAGGATCTTCAGTAGTCGTATTGGGCAATGAGGAAAAAAGTAGAAACACGAGGAATTGGACGACGCGATTAAAATCCACACGGGACAAGGAAAATGTCCCAATTTCTACTCAGATAACCATGATTTTGCTGAACATAAAAAATAATGTATAAGTAAAAATTTATAACTAAAAGTAACTTTTATTTTTGTATTTTTCATTTCAAATAGCAAGTGCTCAACTCCGATCGAAATGATACAATGAAAATAATTTATTACTTCGGTTAACGCGATTAAAATCCACACGGGACAAGGAAAATGTCCCAATTTCTACTCAGATAACCATGATTTTGCTGAACATAAAAAATAATGTATAAGTAAAAATTTATAACTAAAAGTAACTTTTATTTTTGTATTTTTCATTTCAAATAGCAAGTGCTCAACTCCGATCGAAATGATACAATGAAAATAATTTATTACTTCGGTTAACGTACAGGTATTATAATATGCATGGTAAAAGTTTATTTTATTTCTAAATATAACTTCGGGCACGTAAAGGGAGGAAATGGAGATAAGAAAACAAATAGACGTTAAAGAGACCACGGAATCGCGCGTAGAATAAACGTTTTCACGGTGGATCTCACAGAAGGTTAAACCGGATGGTGAATTCCGATCTTCCTCGGCTTGCCACCCGTTATAAAATAAGCCCTCGTTTTCGTAGATAAAACCGCGTTGTTGGCGCGACTCGGTGCGTTTTATGATTTCTCGCGTGCGCGCACTTATATAGGCGCCGTCACCGGTGTCGCGTCGAAAAAAAAAAAGGAAACTACATTTCGCAATTAGCATTTCTCATGTAACAGGGGTTGAGGGGGTAGGGGGATTTGGCCTGCTGGCAGCCGGTCTTTCATTCTCTTTTCGTTTTTAACCCTCCGCCCGAAGCGCACGGGGAGGAAAAGTACGCGTGAAACTCAACCGACGCGATTTATGTCGCGCGGAGGGTGAGCTCGACAGAAACTCGTTTCTCTTCCGTTCGCCCGCGTTTCCCGGCCCAGGGAACCTGGAACACGTCTCTCTCCTTCTCTCGGCCTCGACGCGTTTCGAGCCTGTACACTTATTCATGCGTGTTGCATCTTCTTGTGTCTCCGTTGTTTTTCCTCGCCCCCTTTTTTTTTTCACTTCCCTCGGCGACACACGTGGCCTGGAACCTTTCGCGTAAAAGGGCAAGAGGGTTTCCAGCCACGATTTCGACCCTTCAACGCGTCTTTCAACCTCTTTCCGTCACCACGCTTAACGCTGGATAAAACGTTGTAATACTTTTTAGTTGAATACTAGTCTCTGAACAATTTGTAAAACGTGGCGCACACCTTTTTCACTTGGATTAATAAATCTAGAGGATTTAATTCATTGCGTTATAACAGTTTGATTAAAATAAAAGTACCTAGTATATTATTTTAGTCCGATAACAATGTAGACAAGTGAGTGAGTAGGAATAACGATATCGAGTTTTGGCACGTGTATAAATACGGACATTAGGGGTGTATACGTGAAGCCTTTGTTTTATACAAAAAATGGATTATAAACGAATTTTTGTCTCATTAATATGAATGTATATTAAATTCCATGCGCGAAAGTATTTTTCATTATTGACTCATCCATTGTACTTTATGTTCGGTTGATAGCGAAATCATGTTTAGCTGAGTAGAAATTGGGACATTTATTTTATAAACGTAAAATATTCTACGTCTAATGTTCAGCAAGGAAACTAACAGAACTTTTGCGACAATCTAATATATTATCTGTACTATAGGACTAAAGGATTTACCGTCAAGCTTAAATATGGTAGTTTTAATACGAGACAGGGATGTACATTTTGACGGTAATCTCTTTGTTCCTCGTTACACGTCCTCTCGTTAGAACTCAAAGAGCGTGATTCTTGACGAGGAAAGTTTCATCGCGTTCGTTCGTTTTTACCCGTTCAGTACGATCAATCATGACGTTTACTATGTCAGCTCGTTTTTTACCGAGCACTCGTTCCTGTTAACAATGTGAACTCGGACTGAACTTTTAAATCTCTCGCCTCGTTGTCGTCGCGTTGCCGCAAGTTTGCACCGCGTGTACGAAATTTGATTCACCTTCCACTTCCCTCCGTGTAATCCGTAAGAGGTTCCGTGTCTTTTTTATCGTCTACGACGATACATTTCCCCTCTTAAAGGACAAAGTTGACGGCGGAAAAAGTCTGCAAGAAAAATAGAAGGCGAGAGAACGCTCTCTTCTTGATGATATTCTAAACATTTTAGCTCTCGATATTTCCAAGCTGCTCCTCCTTTGAAAAATACGAACACCGTCAGAGACGTATTTCCTCGGAGGTCCACGGTAATCGGCCATTAAATCGAAGAGCGTCTCCTTTCGATCGATCGCGTCGAGAAAAGTTTTAAAAGGCAGCGAGAAGTCTGACGACGGCGCAATTAGCCGGATGAACTCCTGTCACAGATTAAGCCCCCATTTTCTTTTCGATATCTTCCTCGCGGTGACATCCGACGCGCTGTCTCTCGCCGTCTAATCTCGAACAAAAATCCAATTTCAAAGTTCGGCGCGCGCCGCCGCCGTAGCGTCGCGGCGCAAACGAAGTTCTCGAGGAAATTTCTGCCCTCTTCGAGGCCGCAATATGAGTTTACACCGCGTCGGCTCCCCCGACTTTCCTCATAAGCTATGCATGGCGACTATGCGCGGTGTACACCTGTCAAGAGACTTGCTGGCGAATTAAAATTTATTCGGCGAAAGCCCCGACGACGACGACGACGACGACGACGTTTTCGTCGTCTTAACGGTTGGGAACTTCGTAGACGCGACAGCCTGCTCTCGTTATTCCGTCCGATCGATTTTCTTTCGGGTCCCATCACCGTGTCCCCTGTCCTTGCTAATTAATTGTTTTCATAATCACGTTGAAAGCATGGAAAATTCGATTAAAACTTTCTGAATCCCATTTGATACTCGTGACAACGAGGTAAACAAGAGAAACATATTATAATGTAACCCATATAGTTGACCTCCATACCATATGATTAACCATCGTCTCAAAAAGTAGGAACTAATTAAAGAGAAAAATTTAGTATTTCGGATTTGAAGTTAATACATTTATTCAAATATAGAATTTACTGCAAATTATTTCCAATTTTTGGTAAATTAATTTTCACATCTCATGACGATCATAAAAATCTCTCTGGATATGTTATATTACATGTCCATTTCAAACCTCGACGAAGTTAAAGGAGATTCTCAGAGGTAGAACGAAAGAATGCTGGGAACAAAGTTTTCCCGGGAGGGATGATATAAAGAACTTTTATGTAACGGATCACCTTCGTGTTAGAGCGAAATTTCCCTACGAGTGGGCGCGGCCGAATACAAAGGTTCGGGGGGAAATTTAATTGTCGTCACCCGAAGGCAGGTCCTTACCGGACGACGCGGCGCGACGTGACAGCGGGAATAAGGAAAGGAACAACCAGGAACGCGGTTAATTCGTGCGATAAAGTCCGGCCGGCGTTGGTTTAATTGCGTCTCGCTTAATTCCGCCGGTCGCCCATTGAAATTTCACCGGGAAACTCGCGGGAACGCGGCGTGGTACGACCTACGGGCTACGGGTCCACTTCGTGCTTCAACGATCGGGATAATACGCTCGTTTCTTCACTTCAGGCTATCCGGGGACAACTGTTTCTCTCGTTGCCGGACAAGATTCGCCCGTTACTACTACATCAAGCTCAACTGAAACTTTGACCAACTTCGGTAACTGCTTCAGAGCTTCCAGATTTTTAAAATCGTGAAAATTAATTATTTCACATTCTTGTTTATGCTATTATATTTAATAATAGTTTCTAATCTTTTATGAACTGATTTCTGCATTCCATGACAATCATAAAAGTTGATCAGGGTTAATTTAAATTTAATTTTACTTTGGTGTTCGAATTTCATTTCTATTACTAATATTATATACTGTAAAGATTTTCATACGACAGAACGATTTGATTAATTAATATCTCTGTGACTGATTAATAAGCTAATGAGTAATATCCGTTAAGAGTATAATTTCTGGCTGAGAAATGGCGAGATTTTTAATGCAGATTTTTTAATTGAGAAACCTTTGTTCAACTTGCAACGAGATTGCTCATTTGATAATAATATAATCCCTGAGGGGAACGCGAACGAGCGGAACTGGTTTATGCGTACGTGAAACTGTTTCGCGGATAAACAAGTTGCATCCCTCGCGTGCGATGAAACGTATGCCCGTTTAATTCCCTCCCCTCGAGCATCGATCTCCTCGTTTCATGGATGAGATTTATGGAGCATTTTTCCCTACGAAATCCGCGATATTGCTATTTCATTGGGCGAGCAAAGTTGCCCAAACTCATTCATCGCGCGGACACATCGACGATTGTTACTGCGATTGCGACATAGTTATTTTCGCAGCGAAAACTGAACTAAAACTAATTACATATCAGCACCGGATATGAATTTGTCGACACAATATCAAAAAGTTTGTTATAATTTGTTTGCAAAGTTCCCCTCACTCCAAAACTTTAACACCAGTTATGTTTGTACATGACAGATTAGTCACATTTCTATTCGTATTACAATTTCTACTTATTGCCATTTTTCCTATAATTTTATCTGCAATCTTAAGCGAGAGAGTAGAAATTATAACGTGAACAGAAATTGGGACATTTACTATATCATGATTTTTAAAATAAAAAAGAAATTCCTATTTAGATTTCGTTTTCTCCACTGACATTAAAAATGGTTTCTTCTTTTTTCGAAGATTCGCAGTCTGCTAATAATTATATATACATAATGATTTAAGAAATAATTTCGGATGAGGCAAAGATTAAAAAATTGCATAAATGAAAAATGATATTGCTCACCTCTTTGGCGACCATCATAGCCGTGGGGACATTCTTCATCGAGCCGCAGATTATGCCTAATTGATAGAGGGCGAAGATGAGGAGAAGCCCGACGAAACAAACGATGGGCCCTTTGCGACCGCTTCTGCTGAGCAGGAACGACATATCGCCGTTGCGAACGAGGCGACGACCGCCGATCGTTCGCGCTTGGTCGTATGATGGGTAAAGACGTTGTGCTCACTCGAGGCCAAGATTTCGGGGCCTCGCTTTTTCCTTACTCCATTAGCTCATTGCACCTGTTTAACATAAAAGAAGACCTGATTAATTATAATAGAAATAGTGCATTACAGTAGTAATAGTAGTGGTAGTTATTATAATTCTAGACCTCATCGGCCAATGAATAGGATTTGGTTTACACCTTGAACACACTTAATCGTTCATCCCTCCAGAGTTTCACACACTAACCATTCATTTCACACTAAGACATTAAATATAAAACAAACATAATTTAAAATAGTAATTTAGTGTTTTGTATCTGTTGTATTTTATGAAAGAAATATTCTGAGAGTTTTCTGAAGAAATATTTCTTCCACCGGGGCTAACATTGAACATTTATTGGAAGTTTCTTCATTCATTTTTGTATCGATAATATGGTAAAAAGCTGCAAGATGTTTAGCGATGGCATTTACCAAGTTATGGTATGCGAAGTTATTGTTAGAGAGAGATTATGTCGCAGATTTTATAGTGGGAGATATCGAATATCTGGCGTATTGGTATCAACGATAATAAAGAGTAGAATGAATCAGGAGATACACGGTCGACTGTTCCCGTTTCCCAACAAAGGTACTTGTGGAAGATTTACCATCGAACTGAACGCTTAAATCACCGCGGTTCCTGTGGATTCTGGAGATCGAGCAGTACATTCGCAACCCGTGAACAATTTCTCATCGATATACATCGAATCCGAAGAAAATGTGAGGTATAAAATTAATCTATCCGTCAAATGATAAAAAGTGTACGTTCCATAATATCTTTCGATCCATTTTGTTAAAAATTCTCGGTAGAAAGAGGAGGGGAATAATTTGCTCGAAGTGAATGGTACCATCGACCATCCCCAGGCTAATATTTATCTCGGGCTTGCCGGAAACTAAGGCGAGCCATCATAACTTTCGTTTCGATGGCTCGTTGCCATCGGCTCGATCGGTGCGAGCGTGTGCCTTAAGCGGCGCGCCTTTGATTTAGCTGCTCTCCTTCCGTTTCGCGGCTTTGTTTGATGTAATTTATGAACGCCGGAGAAGGTAAGAATCATCGATGCATTAACGCGGTAAATCTCATCTTATCGAGCCGCCTTGCTGGTCGATGCACCTTCAGTCGAAGGATACTGAAAAGACCGACCCATTTTTCCTATGTACACCGTCGTTCGTCGATATCGGAATATCTGTTATGTTAATACGTAAGGGATCTATGAAAAATGAAACGTTTTTTGCCGAAGGTAGTCGTTGTCTAAATCAAAATTACTGAAAACTGTTTGAACTTTTGTACAAAATTAGTATAGATACTAAAGAATATGTGTGCAAAATTCTGGATCGATTGAACATCTCATTTCCGGGTTAGTAATATTTTTAATAACTTCAATCTTGTGCGAAATATTCCACTGTTCTTGCTTACACGGGACAACCTAGACATTCTATACAGTGTCTGTTTTTCATACATCGCCGGTAACATGTTTATAATCATAACTTTACCTAGATGGTAATAATCGGATGAATCGATAAAGCGTATCAGAGTAAGAAAAAAAAACGACCGCGGTAAAATGGAATTTCCGAAAGGGGCTTTCCGGAGTGGAAGGTTCGATGCTCGCGAGCAACTTGTTAATAACGTCATATTGTGTGCTTAAAGAGTTTCCAATACTTTCGCGAAGATAAGCTTGCAAATTTCGTTAGGAAGTTAGTTTATTCGATATTAGCTCGGCTAATGTATAAGTAATTAAATTGGAAGGTAACTCCGGCGGAAAAGTTGGTTTTATTTCGCGACGCAGCGTAGTGCGGAATTTTTTGGCAAAATTCAGAGTTCATAAAACATTTATTTTGGGATGAAAATTGTAGGGGCATTCATGTGTCAAAAATGTTTACGTACAACTCAATCATGCAATAATAACATTTGTTTATTACCAAACGATTTAATTTTTTACATGTTCGTTAAATTTTCATGTTCGTTATATGTTCGTTAAAGTTAAAGTTTGTTTGTTTAATTTCATTTCTTGTGAATAACATGCGAATTATTTACATTAATTACAAAGTTTAGATTTTTGTCCAGAATTTTTCAATTTGTCCGTAGCACGAGATTCGTGTCCGAGAAAAAGCAGGAGAAGCGAAGAGGGATCTAAAGAGATCCATATCTGACCGGATGGTCAACCGGTGATTCGTAAGGCGCAGTCGTCAAGAGAAAAATGAAAAGGAATGAAACTGCGGGGCAGATAGAAGGCGAGTTAAAGATCAAAAAGAAGAAGAAGAGGTGGTAGGATGAAAACGGAAGAGGAAGTTCGTGCAACTGGGTCGTATATGAGCGACCTGTATCTATTTTCCGACTGGAGCTTTCAAGGAGAGCTTTCCATTTCGCCTCGCGTTTGACCTCTCTCTCACCCTGGCAGCCCACCTTTTCCTCGCGCGATGAGAGATGAGGACAATCGCCACATATTGCTAGCCCCCGTGCCACGACTCCAATCTAACCGTCCCCGTTCTACCTTAAATCACCTGCCAGCCCTTTCCCAATTCCCACCACCACCGAATAAACCATCACTTCGTTTCCTTGTACCAACACAATTGTTTTCCGTCTTTCGCCGCGACGACGTACCTCCATTGTGCCGTCAAATTCAATCGGCGACCGTAACGAACCCGCCCTACCTAGTTGCGAATTGTTTTTAACACAGAACCAGGATTCTTCTTTTTTTCCAAAAAAATGTGCAGGCAACAATATAGTCAATTATATTATCGGCAAACGAACAATAGAACATTCTCCTGTTCAAACAAATGGAATGATATTTAAAATTCAGTTGCAGTGGTTTGGATCAGTGAACCATGAAACGAGCGAGAAAAATGAAATAATTTTGATTTCCGTGCATACACGTCTATTCGAGTAAATGCAAGCGTCTGTTTCGATACGGTTTATTCAGTCGAACGTGTATGTGCGCTTTTTCATCCGATGACTGGCGTAGAAACATGTCGATTTTTTCTACGTATTATATATGTACGCTTTGGCTCATAGGTTTTAATTTTAAACATTTTTTCATCCGCGGTTCCGTATCGCTAACCATTAGAGCGTTCAATTAGTCAGAGCTCGTTCTGTACATGTCTCTTTTATTCCGAATGAAATTCATGCCCGTCTCTAACATTTATATTTATGATTTTAATATGCATGCAACGATTTATGCATCCACACGCACGGTTCTCTTGGAACGATTTCCAAAAAGACAGAGAATATTACAAAAACAAACGAAGTAGGTTGTATAAATCCATTATGTGCAATGAAAGGCAACGTGTTCAAAGGCTGATTCTATTTTTCCTTTGGCAATTGAAAATCGTCGACAGAACGAGTAATCGATCGGGAATAGGGCAGCCAATCTCCATTCGCAGTTCGCGGATTGATCGAACCCTTTTCACCCTCTTTTAACCCCCGATCCCCTCCCCCCGATGAAAGCAGTTTTCCTCGGTTGTACCAACTTCCCGTTTACGATGGTAACCCTTGTAGTAAACTGCGTCGATATCGATGAGCGTTGCCTTTCTTAAATTCGACGTTTGTCTGCGACAGGCCAGGGTCGTCGCCGGAAAATTGATACGGGGGTGGGATTTTGCTATCTGCTCGGAACACCCCTCGGCTCGTCTGTATACCGGCGCCGGACACGCTGCTAGATCGATGTTTACGATAGCGTTTGGCTGTTGGCACCTGGACACATCGTTGCTTTTCAACCCCTAGCTGAACGACGACTGCACCCCCTCCCCTTTGCTGGTAACACGCCCCCCGCTTCTCGAATAGCAGGGATGCCTTTATGATCATACGCTGTCGTGATGAGCTTTCTGCTGTCCTTCGATAGACAGCCTGGCTATTGTTAATTAAATCACGCTTTATACTCTTCCCAAACCGTTCACGCGCTGTCAACGTGTAATAGCTGCTCTCCCGGGAACCGTCGATAACGAAAGATTTACCGTTCCCTTGTTTGGACGGCGAAAAATTAATTTCCTGCTTGTCTGGAAGCTTTTTATTAAAATGATGGATACCGGGTGGAAATCGCCGCTGACACGCTATAATTTGTAGCACATGCTTTGTTGCGTGGATATATATTATCGCTCGTTACACGTTCACGCGATGCCAGCAAAAACAGTCATTATACGTGATTTACACAACGATCTTGATATTCTAGCTATATCACAATTTTAGAAAGAAACAAAATTAAAGATTTCCAATTGTTTAAGACTTGCCTTAGGTGCTTTTAACACAAGCCCCATTCCGAGATTTTTAGCTGAAGCTGATAAGTAGACCGTGAATTTTTATGCAAAATAAAACATTCGTGACGTCAATTCAAATGTAAATTGAGATTTAAAAATTTCGATTTATACAGTATTATACACTGATGAAATAATTAGATTATCGGTTATATACACATGTATAGTAATCAATCCTATGGGAACTAGACGAGTGCGAAAAAACTCGCGTGCCAGAAGTCCGCGCGGAAGCTCGACGTTGCATGCGATTTCGTGAGAAATCGGGTACCTGACCGAGGAGAGTTCCACAAAGCAGTCTTTGTCTCGGCAACCTTATCGATCCTTCGACGCGTAACTCCCTTGAGGAATCTCTGGGGACGCGAATTTCGCAGCGGATTTACCTAATGAACGAACTTTGATATCGCGATCGCAGATCTTCGATATTCTGACTGAATAAACCGTGAACTAAAAAGAAACTGGATCGAGAAGTCTTTCGGGAACAGACTAAATTCCTTAAATTCGACGCATTCTAATATTCTATTATTTAATTAAATTGAATGGGAAAGCTGTAATTACGATGATTGTTAATTTATTAAATTCTATGAGACAAACGTAAAAATTTATAAAAATCTTGTAGCGTATAATTTATTGAAAAAGATGTTATATGATATTCATGTATATCAGATG